ACATTTGGCAAATTTTGACCTTTGATGACCCCCAGTGACCCCAATATTGCTCTAAGATGAAAAATAACCGAAATACTTTCAAACGTACGCATTAAGAGCTATTGACTGCATTTTACCGCGTCTTTCTAGCCCTCTTAGTTTTTTAGTTAGAGGTGGGTGGTAACATATGCCCCCCCCCCCCCCCCCACTAGGGCGAGGTTGGCTGAGACCGCCACTGGGGCGCGGGTTAATAGTCATGAACTAACGTTTTCTTCTAGTCAAAAAGTTGTGGACTCACGTTGCAAAAACAAACTTTTCACATTTCAATCTCTCTTTAACCTTTCCAGTCCTCGCGAAGAGAAAAAAAATAATATTATGAAATGAATGTCTTTATTCACACATTTTGCCAAGCATGCATGTAACTTTCAACGGCCGAAGAGCCGCACAGTACGCATCAGATTGATGGTCCGATTTAGTTGCGTCATCTCCCTTTGCCCGGAGGATGGCCGTGGTCAATTGGTTCGTGATAGCACGCGGCACCGACTGGCCGATGACGATACGGCACACTCGCAGAGCGACTGGCCAAGGGACGTGAGCGACGGGCCGGGATAAGGCACCCCTGGCCCCCGACTGTCCATGGGAACACAGCCAGCTCAGCTGGCAGTGAACGTCACCGGCGTAACCAATACCATGCGTGTATCCATAGTATATACTGCAAATAAACTGTATAGTAGGCAGTGTAGTATGTATAGTTGGCAGCCGTCGTCTCCCTGCATTTTTTTTTTTTGTACACCCTCTCAGTCTGAAGCGATCCAGCTTGCAGCAGCACAATAGCCCACGAAAGGATTGCCGATCTCACCGATGCCGCAGGGCCCGATAAGGCCCTCTGTGTAAGTGTGTAGTCCGTGTGGGGCTACACACCGGTCTGAGAAAATCCGCGATCCGTCACCCGTCTGAAACGTCAAGCTGAGACGCCGATCAGCAGGCAGCAGCATTTCCTATTGAAGACTGGACAGATGTTTTGGTCTGCGCTGGTCTGTGCTGTTAGCAAATCGCCGCGTAAAAACTGTTACATAGCCTTGGTAAAAACCGACGGCACTGTCGAGTGCCCCACCGTCCGCTTTACTCTCCCTTTCTGATCTGTGACATAGATCTACGGCATGCCGACTCTTCAGCGCCCTGGACAAGCCGCCAGGTCAAATCAGCGGCCATAGGAAGAGCAGTGAGTGTGCTGCGCAGCGGGTAGGTACATGAACATACAGTTGCACAAGTATGATGAATGCCAGACGCAGATGTAATTTGGTATATAGGGCCTTGATTTGGCCCTCGATTTGCCTATGATAATGAACAAAAAGGATAGCTACCCGGTACAAGGAGAGGTCGGATTGTACCCATTCTCCTATATATGGCCTTGCCATTCTCTACCCATTCTCGCCTGTGGATCTACTGAGTCGGTAATGTTAAAGGGACCCTCCCACCTTAACATTAGTTTTGAGTTGAGATAGCCAAGTTTGCGGCCAGGCTCAGAAACCACCATTTATCCTGGTCGCAACCCCCGCAGCTTTATGGTGTTCAAGAAATTTCTTCCCTTTACTTGCAGGGTGGGACCAGCGTGGTCCCTATCTCTTAACCATTACGGGAATCTGATGACGTCATCAGGCTTTCGAACGTCCGTTAAATGTTTGACTAAAACGTTTTGTAGCACGCGGTGGTATATGCTGCTTTGCGCGCAACAAATGCCGCACTTTCAAATAAAGTCGCTAGGAACAGCGGAGATCCCAAAAAATAAACAAAAGTAAAAGTCTAATATCTTGAAAACCGGTGAATATTTTTCGATGAAATTTGGTAGATATTCGTTTTTGCTCTTTCTGAACCGAGCGACATCACTTTCATGCCAATTCATTAACTTTTTTGAAGGTGGGAGGGTCCCTTTAAGACTAAGGATGGGGTCCTATGGGAACATGGGCAGACACCGGATACCTTTTAGCTCCAAAGTGCGGCACAATCGAACCAGCCTTGCGCGTTAGCACACAGAAACGTTTTGATTTACTAGGAGCGCGAAAGGCAATGGTTACGTCTCGACTCACAAGTCACAATCTCTACGAAACAGTGGTACTTTGGAGTTCTATAGCCTTGGATTCTTTCAGGCACAGGGACATGCCACTTTTTGAAATCGAAACGGCCGAGGTGCTGTTTTACCGTTCACCGGCCGCCTGTCAGACCCTGGAATGGCAAGACTCCTTTCACATCTGCGCTGGGGCGTCGGCGTTCAAGACCAACAGTGGCGACATGACGTCACTGTACCTTTGGCGGACCGGCTGTGTGAGTGGCCCGGTGGGCCGTGATACGGGGGTCACTGTGCTGCGGGATCGGCGGGCAACACCACTCTCCGGCGAGCGACACCGTCTCCGGGAGGTTAGAGGTCGGCTGGGGTCCACCAGGTAAGAAGACGCATGGCGAATTAGTTGTTTGATCAGATAGGATAACGTCTTTCAATTCCACAGGCGCGGAAACCGTGGGGACAGCTATCTGTTCAGGTGGGTGACGGCACGTGATCGCCTGAGGCGGTGGGGGGGGGGTTAAAATATTTACGTCATTTAATGCTCAATGCAATCGTTGCGACTTTTTACATGACCTTCTCCTCATCGTTGTTTCTTGCTTTCAACGACTGGTCCCCGAGTGATGGCTATCCTCACACAAGATAGGATGAATGGAGCTAGCAATTAAGCCCAAAAGACACATGAAAATGCTACCAAACACTCCTTTTGAAATTTGAAGGAGATGATTTGAATGGTTCTGGAGCCTCACGAAACATGTTTCAGATATGACGCGTCACAGAAACTGACGCATAAAGACTGTGTTCAAAAGTGTGAGCGGCAGCTCCGCAGGCACTTGTTGAATGAAAAGCGTAGGTACTGCCCGGTCGCCATAGCCACAAGTAAACGTCACAAATTTCGAACACTATTGGAGTGCGTCAAGTTCGACTACATAAAGGACGATGGGTGATGGCTGCCAGCTGATTAAATTAATGAAACGCGAATAAATTCAACTTTTGTTTGATATTGCGAGTAAAAATGTGTTTGTTAATTTCAAATATCATTGAATTAGTTTTTTTAGATGAATTAACTACAAACGCCTCTGTGCAGTGTTTCAAGAATAAATCAAGGCTTATGAAAATCGTGAGTAGGGTTGGGAAAAGCAGGGAAAAGGATCACGTGACTAGCGTCCCAACCTTATCTGTTAGAATCTTGGGGACAGCCAAGATACACGGATTTCTTCACGATGGTTGCGTTTCCGTCTCTCCATAGCAAAACCGCACACCACCGACAGGCGCGCGGTTTGCCCTCCACATTCAAAACAAGCGTCCTGGGCGGCATTTGGAAAGCGGAAAGCGCGTTAGCCAAGCGTTGCATTCATTGACCTATAAGTATAGACAGACTACACTGGAAGCCGCCTGGAAGCCGTTCCCGCTGAACGACACTAGCGCCACCGTACGCGTAGGGGAACGAACTAATGACACAATCCTTTGTCTATGGGAAAAAGCGAAAGTTTATCCACTTCGTTCTCGTTAATGACACGACGAAACGGAACAAGACCACATCAGGAATTAGAACCACATCTACAATGTAGAAACGTCCAAGCTTAAGCACGTGAACATAGCACAAAGTCGTAGGGGTCGAGGGACAAGGCACGCGCCAAGTGCCAAATAAGTGGTGACGATTTGTTCGATCTACAATATCTTAACGACTGGGTTGATTGAGCTGAAACTTGGCAAGTGGGTGGACATGCAAAGGATTATGCTTTTCCATGTGTTACGGTTGGGGTGCTGCTGCACGTGCGCACGGGCACGTGCAGGGGTCGCTTCCACATCTCGAGAACGGCTAGGCAGATTGCGTTCAAATTTGGTACACCGTAAGGGACCGTTTAGCAGGGTACCGTGCACAAGTGCACAAGGTACTTATTATAGGTCAATGGCTGCAAAGTCAACCCCCAAATAAACATCATCTTCATCATGTTTGCTTGGTTGGTCTTGGTTTTGCTGCTTTCGAGCCTCATATTTGCATCCGTTGCATCGTTTTATAGGCTGTCTCAAGCAGGGTATATTGAGTGAAGGGCAGGACGAACTTTGCTAGGAATTTCTAGTATAACTACTAGAAAACCTTCTATATGTGGTCGGGACTAGCAAAAAGTTAGTTCAAACTAGAATATGGTAGCGCTTATGGTTGGTAGTCATGACGCGCACGTGACATTCATTTCTTAAATTTCTTAAATAACAGGTTTTAGGGGCCGATTAGTGGGCGGATACATTCAATTAGCAAACATGTGTTTGTTTAGCAAAACATTAGCAAAATGTTTGATTATGCAAACATTCAAGAATCTACATCATTCAATTCTAGCCAAAATCACGCAGCGCTCCCGGGATTCGAACCCACGACCCTGGGATCCGTAACCCGATACGCTACCGACTGCGCTACCGAGGACCGCGCGTCCATGTTCGGAGAGGCGGATCGCGGGTGCCGGCGTGCAGAGAAATCTTTACCCTGTACGCCGTAGAAGATCGGCTGGGTTTCGTGAAAAATGGTAGAGGAATTGTCGAAAGAAAATTCATTGATCTATCATTTGAGACTAAAAACTATTGATTCCTTCAAAGGTTGGCCGAACTTTTTGGTAACGTAAGGCACCAAAATGTTTGCAGTAGAGACATCATATAAGTGAGAGTCAAAAGTCCTTACGTCGCCTTTTTGGTGACCAAGGCCGCCTCTTATACGGCCTTGGTGGCGCTTCTAAAAGTTAGCCATGACGTGAGGGTTTTGGTGTACGTAGTGGGTTTTTGCGTCATTTCCATGCTCTTCAATGATGTGGGAATTCCTAAATTTGCTTTTCCTCTCCCCAAAAGCCTTTTTTTAAATCAGCATGAAATAGAGCTATTCCAGCCTGTCACAATGGTGTAATAAAAACAAAGCCCTTACGTCATCTTTTTGATGAGGCAATGGGTTTTGACGTAAACATTGAGGTACGTTCAAGAACGTAGATGGGTCTGTCGACGTAGTGGATTTTGCCGGTGGCGCTTCTGAAGGTGAGCCATAACGTGTGGGGTTTCGGCACTTTTTGCCGACGTAGTGGGTTTTTACTGTGCCATTTCCGTGCTCTTCAAAGACGTGAATTCTTAAATGTTTTCCTCATTAAGTTATGTTTTGTTTTTGAAGGAAAAACTAGCATGAAACAGAACAGAGCTTTTCGAGCCGGTCACAGTAGTGTAAAAAAAAAAACGAGAAATGACCATATATTGACGCGTGGTGTTTTGACTGGACGGCAGAATAAGACTGATATGCCCTCCAAAGCGACGTGGACGTCTCACGTCTGGTCTGTCCGGAAGTTCGGCTATTATCTTTTACTGGACTCGATGATTGGTTCACTGCTGCGATGTTCTCGTGGTGCGATCCGTTGCAGTACCGCAGTGATGTAGTTGTCATCAGTTTGTTCCAGTGGCGACTCGAGTCCCCGTGCGCGGCGGCTCGATGGTGTCGGACAGGGAGCGGGCTGCCCGCCACCCCCTGCTCCTGTGGCTCGGCTGCATCCTGACGATCCTGGGGGTCGGAGTGGCCGTTGACCCCAGGACACTGCGAGACCCGCCGACAGCGGTATGTGTCACGGGCTGGTCAGTGGTCACCCAGTCAGGACAGTTTGTAGTTACTTGAATGCCACTCACAGTTGTCTGTTTCGTATCTTAGGTTATGTAAGGCAGTAAGTCTTACAACTTTCAAGTGCTAGGCTGTGGTGACTAACAAATGACTAATCAAACATCATAGATGCGCCGTTTATCTGTACGCCGTTGCCGACGTCGATGACCATCAGGGTCCTGACTCCCGATCACTATAGGGAATAAAGGGATCCTCCAACCTTCAAAAAAATAAATAAATAATGTATTGGCATAAAAGTGATCTATTGTGGTTCAAGCAAGACCAATCATTAACAGCGTTAAAATTTCACCGAAAAATATGAACTGGTGTTTGATATATTAAGACTGATTTTTGTTTATTTTTGGGAGCCTCCGCTGTTCCTATGACGTCATCTGTGAGCAATAATTTGCAATCTTAGGAAAGTGCGACAGATGTTGCGCGCAAGACGGTATACACCACCAAAGCAACAATTGTCTTACCAAGGTGTAAGTATAAGACTTAAAAATCGCTAGATCTGCGTTGACTACACAAAGCCTAAGCGGTATTTTATTGCATTAACCCCTGATTATCCGAAACCAACAGACTTTGAAATTAAATATCTCCGAATTTGCATTTTTGAATTGCATTGCATTGCATTTTTGAATCGCATTTCTCGATGTTGTGAGTGCCCAAACCGGTAATTGCAAGCCAGGGACCCCAATTTGGCCATCTCAATTCAAGACTTATGTTAACCCGCGCACCGACGGGGGGGCGGATATCCGCCCCCCCTGAGGTTTTTCGCGAATAGCGGGAAAACCGCGGCGCGTAGCGCCGCGAAATTTGGTATGACTATAACCTCATCAATTTTACACATGGTGTGCAAGTTTGAACCTCCTACCTTTTAAGGTCAGGTCACCAGGTCACTTTAAATGACCCAACCTCAAGTCACTTTTTTGCAACTTTGTCACCGTGCCAGAGCTACAGTAGATGTCGGAGGCCTTTGCAAGTCGCAGGATATTATTAGGTCATTAGTAGCTACAATTTGTATATCTCGGAATTTTGATATCGGTGACCTAAGGTCAGGTCAATTTCGCGACCTCCCCATTATAAGTCAATGGGGGAAAAATCAACTCCCTGTTTTTACCACTAAAACGGGTCGGAATGGCCCCATATACCATACATGACTTCATATACGATCAACCTTCACTACCTTGAGGTCTGTTTTGCTGTTGGGCAGCTGTGAGGTCATGTGACGTCATCAAAGGTCACCAAAGGTTTTTGGCCAATAACTCCGTACAGGAACAAGATACAGACGCGTGGATGGTCTCATTGTGTTCAGCGCGTCAAGACGCATCGAATGATATACATGATGACCTCGAGGTCACGTGACCTGAGGTCAACCTTTGACCTTGACCTTTCGAGGTCAACATATATATCATTCGATGCGGATTGACGAGAGGATCACGATGATGCCCTTAGTTTGTTCCTATCTTGACTAATTCGAAAGTTATTCGAGAAAAACTCTCTCCATATCTAGCGCCGCCATTTTGACTTTTTCGACCCCTGTGACGTCATTTTTGACCTGACCTGAAAATGACCTTAGTAAAAATTGTAGATCTTGGCCGTGCGTATCCGATGCCGTTTACCGCTTGTCGCTATCTTGCTTCGTTCTCGAGATCTCAGGGGGGGGGGCGGTCATCCGCCCCTCCCCCCGTCGCGGGTGCGAAGTTGGCGCAGACCCCCGTCGGTGCGCGGGGTGGTCACTTTAATCTAAATTGGTTACTATGTCTGATTTTGACTATGGCATCAGTTCCTCTACTCCCCCCCCCCGAAACCCAATCCCCCGTTGTTTCCCGATGACCCCAGTCATCTGACCGTTGCCCCTCCCGTCACATTTTGGTTCCAGTGAGCCGAGCCCTCTGACTGTTGTCCTTCCCCTCCCCAGTCCCCATCCCCTTTCCTCGGTAAACGGAACCCTCCGACCAATGTTCGTCACGTCGGTTCCCCGGTAAGCTAAGTCCCCTCTCAATTGTTTATGTTATTTATGAATTTTGTGTTCTAGTGTGAGTAAATCAAGGCCGTATAAGAGAGGTAGAATCATCCCGCAATTTCCAATGGACCGGTCGCTAAGCATTAGCGTGACGTCACTGGTGGATACCGCGCGGCGACCGGCTCCAAGCCGTACGTCGGGTACATTTGGCACTTTATCGTTGCTATTACTGAACGTAACGACAACTAATGACTCTTAATAACTTTTTTACCCACCTAAAGCTGATTTCCTTGCCGATACATTGCCGACCCGAGCCCCAGGGTTGACAATCTTGGGATATATGGGTCGGATGCAGGCGACCTCGCGACGGGAGAAGGAACGATTGCAATCGTTGTGTCCCGCACCGCCGATTGCATTCTCTATCTGCACCCGGAGGGGGGCAGGGGGCACGTGCCCCCATCGGATCAGGGGGCCTCTCGGGCCCGAGGGGCCCTGCGACGCCAATTGGCGGCTGAGGGTCCACGCTGGCATTTTCGACTCAGAAGGGCCCCACAGGGCTGGAAGGAACACCTTGCGCTCCGAATAGCCACACAATAGCCACACTTCCCTCCATAAGAGCCACACACCGGCTTTTTATTGTTCCTTGTCTCCATTTGAGGGCCCCTTGCCGGCCTCTCAGGGCCCATTGGCGACCTCTGAGGGCTACTTGCCGGCCTCTGAGGGCCCTTACCGGCCTATCAGGGACCAGCAGCTCTAAGGGTTCCACACACGCCTGTGATGACCCCCTAAACCAATGGTTGAAGGCCCCCACAACGGCGCCTGCGAGGGCCCTCACCGGCGGCTGTGAAAGCCCCAAAGCGGTGCCCAGCTGTGGGCCCCACACTGCCACCTCTGAGTTCAACCGACACCCCTGAATGAAGTTCCAAAGGCCCAAACCAGTGCTTCTTAAGGCCATATATCGGCGGCTCTGAGGGCTCAACGCCGGAGCCTCTGACGGCCTAAGACGGGACCTTCGCATCGGACGGCCACTCACCGGTGACTTTTGAGGGCCCCGCACCGACGACTCTGAGGGCCCTCACCGGCGTCTGAGAGTACCTTGCTGGTCTCTGATGACTCCACAGGGCTCCTGAAGACACCGTAGACCTCTTAAGGGCCCTTTGTCGGTCTCTGAGAGCCCCTGTCGGCTTATAAAGGGTTCGAGCCAGCAGCTCTAAGGGTCCCACACCCAACTGTGATGACCCCACACTGCAGTGTCTCTGAGGGCCCACAATGGCAACTGTGAGGACCCTCACCGGCGCCTCTGAGGGCCACACACTAGCACCTCAGAGGGCCCACAGCGGCACCTCCGGGACCCCGCACCAATGCCTCTGAGGGCCCACACCAGTGCCTCCAAAGGCTTCATAACTGGCGGCCCTGAGGGCACTACACCGGAGATTTTTGGGGGCCTACCGAAGGCACAACACAATCCCTTAGTCTCGCTGAGTTTCCATCCCAATCTCATACCCGCTTCTATCCCAATTCCGGCTCTAGCAATCCCCCCCCCCCCCCCACCATGGGTCAGCGGCGCCGCGGCGCGCCGGTGTCGGTGCCGGGGGCCAGCGCCATCAGTCGGCCACGCGCACTCAATGGTTAGCGCTTAGCACCGGCGGCTAGCGCACGCCCGGTGTGTTATCGGCCGTGAGCCGCTCCAAAACGGCTGCAATAAGTGGTCGATATCAGAGCTGGGCGCGTTCCTCGATTTTCGGTAGTGCGTTAGCGTTCCTGCGTTCCTCCGGCCGCGGTTAGTGCGTTCCTGGAATAGCGTTCCTCAATTTTTTTTTCGTTCGGTGCGTTAGCGTTCCTGCGTTCCTGCGTTCCTCCCTCAAAAATACCGCCGAACCACGCGGCGCGGGTCCAACCAAACACGGGGCGAATCGATCACAGAATACCCAGAATGGCGACGTGGGGCCGAAAAGCAACTCGACATCTCTTTTCCGAATCGAATATCTGAAATACGTTTTACCAATATCATCCGTAGGGTTTTCAACAAAAATACGACCTGCTTAAAGGTAGTGTGCCACCTTTGAAAGATTTCCCATTTTATTTTTCCTAGGATAAGAAGCTTCTGTTTTTACCTAATATCGCAAAAAAAATCAAAAATGGGCCTGGAATAGTGCCTTTTTCGCCTAAAAGTTTATCGGTTTTTAGATATGTATAACAACTGTAGTGGGCTCACCTGCAAACAGGCGTCGGGCAACAATCGCGAATGCGGCGCACTTGTGACAATAAGCAAAGGTCATTATAGTGTTACGACCATACGACGTACGGGAATGAGTTATCAGCTGTCTAATCGTAGACAACACAATGTCGAGCCGTATTGGTATTGTTTCTTTTATTTGGCTGTCGAACATTATTTATGGTTTGAAATATGATTTTATGTAAAATAATTGATATGAAAAAGCCGTCTTATAAGTTATGACCCCATTTCACCACACGCAAGTGGCAGAAATGACAATGATCAGCTGACGCATTTTTCTTGGCCGAAGTCAGAGCGCGCAGCCCGACGCACCACCACCGCACCACAAAGTATGAGCAGAAGCCGCGCCCAAAGCCAGGGCCCCGGTAACGTGAGGTAGCCGAGTCGGGGCAGCGTGCGCTGACCCAAGCCGGGGCCGCAGCTTTGGGCGCGGTCTACCGCATCCCCGCGGGCAGCCCCGGGCTATCACATGACACCGGGAGGACGCGCGGCTCCGGCTTGGGTCAGCGCACGCTGCCCTGACTCGGCTACCTCACGTTACCGGGGCCCTGGCTTTGGGCGTGGTCTACCGCACCACCTAACAGGCGTGTTCGAAACCGCAGGAGCTGATGATGAACGGGTTTATCGAAACTTGATTGGATGAGCATATCGGTAATAGCGATTTCAGTGTGTGCATTTATTGTTCATAGTGGTGTGAAATGTGGTTGGGGTACGACCGACAACCCGTCGGGGCGAATTTCGCACTGGGGTACTCAAAATTTGAAGAATTTAAGACGTTTCCATGAGTTTTGAAGGTATGGATAAGTTCTAAAAATCCGGTTCTCCTTATCTGGGCCATTAACTCCATACGGTCCAAGAAAGCTGGCACACTACCTTTAAAAAAACAATAGTTAAGTTAAAAGATGTATTTTAGTAAAAGTTATCATATTTACTTTACACATTTAATGCCTGAAACTGAATCGAATAGTAAACATCACCACTAATTTTTTTTTACACATTTAATGCCTGAAACCGAATCGAATAGTAAACATCACCACTAAATCGCCTTCCTCGATTCGACCGACAAGTGGCGCCTCTACCGGCAAACACACGTACTCGAGATTCAAACATTTGACACAGAGGTCATTGGCAGCAATATAATTTTTCGGATGGTTCCGCAAGAACGCAGGAACGCTTTAAAATTTCGGGTGGTGCGTTCCCCTTACTTGCGTTCCTTTGAAAAACTTTGCGTTCCTGCGTTCTTGCGTTCCTAAAAAGGGCGGTGCGTACGTACGGAAGAACGCAGGAACGCACTAAAGGAACGCACTTGCCCAGCTCTGGTCGATATAGGCAGTAAGCAGATGAGGAGATGCAGGTGGATTGATAACCGGCAAGCTTTTGTATTTTACGAGGGCGAAGGGTCGAAGTCGGCCGGCTGCTAAGCCGTGAGCGGATTTTATCAGATGCCGGTTCACTATGACCTTTATCCTGGTCCTAGTCCGCTGACGCACTCTTGGAGAGCCGAATCCCAGCAAAACTCCATCCACGACTGTATCTATACGGCTTACGCTTTTCTGAAAACGTCTGCGTTTGGCCTTCTACGGGCCCGGCCGGCCGCCGGCCCCGATTGGTGATCCACCAGTGACGTCACTGGTAGTGTTAAGCTGATTGGCGAATAATACATGGCGAGAACCGGGACGACATCCCCCTGGAGTAAATGCTCTCTCACCTCTGGCTCAGTCCCTCCCGTTGGTCCCCCGGTGAGCTAGGCCCCCTTTGTCTCTCCCGTTGGTTCCCCGGTGAACTAAACCCCCTCTGTCCCTCCCGCTGGTCCCCCGGTGAGCCCTCTGACCGCTGGTGTTCGCGGCGCCGCAGCCGGAGCTGATCGCCGCTGCCGGCTACCCGGTGCAGGTGCACACTGTGCAGACGGCCGACGGATACCTGCTGGAGGTGCATCGCATCCCACCGCCGGCGGACGCGCGCGGCGGCCCGCCCGTGCTGCTACTGCACGGACTGCGCGCCAGCTCAGCCGGCTGGATCATCAACCCGCGCCGACCGCTGCGTCAGTACCCAACAGTCATTTGAACCCCTGCGTCAGTAACGCCTTTCAGCGCCCTCCTTTCACCTTGTCTTTGTAACACCCTTGGCCTACTCGGTTCAATGATGGTTAACCCTCGCCGGACCTATTGGTTTTCTACATACGCGCCGGCCGAGGGGGGGGGGCGGGTACGACCCCCCCTCGCCGTTTCGCCCCTGGTGGAGCTAGCGCGTCGCGGAAAAAACGAGCGTGTGCGCCGTTACGAGACGCAGAGATTGGTACCCGATTTTAAGGTCCTAGGTCAACCGGTGACCTCTGAGGTCAGGTCAAGTGCCCCAGGGTACGGTTCAGTTTTTGGTGAATAACTTCGCAAAAAACGGCCGCAGAGCCGCGATTTTGGCAGCATCGTGTTCGCCTCGCTCAGGCGCGTCGAATGATATAATTTTTGTCCGGGTCAGGTCAACTTGGGGTGTTGACCTCAGGTCAAGGTCAGGTCAGCACCCCAAGGTCACGAAGTTGGTCGAAAGAGGTCATGTCGCATATCATTCGATTCGGCAGGTCTTCCTGAGTCCATTGGTGGCTTTCTCGACTCGCTAGCTCAATTTGATCAAGAGTTATTGACGAAAAACTAATATGACCTTGATGACGTCATAAATGACGTCACGGAAGGTCAACATTGCAAAAGTGACGCATCTAACCTTGCAAGGAGTGCATCAAATCACGATTCTGTGTGCTTGAGATAGTTGGAGATCGTTCCCGGCGCCAGAATAGCAGTTTTCATTTTTCCCCATTGACTTATAATGGTGAGGTCACGAAAATGACCTGACCTCATATGACCTTTAGGAAAAATCCGAGATATACAAGTTGTGAGACTCATAATGGATACTAGATCCTGCAAGTTTCATTTCCCTGTGACATCTCCTCTGGCAGTGAGGGCGTTGCGAAGTTGCGACATCTGAAGACCGTGCAGAGGTTCACTTATGACGTCATAGGTCAGTGACCTGACCTGACCCAAAAATGCGGTTGGTGTCAAAAGATGCGGCTTGGATCAAAGGTCAGGTATGCCAAGTTTCAGCTCTCTATCGCCAGCGTGTTCGGAGCTATCGCGAAAAAACCCTATGGGGGGGGGGGCGGCACCCGCCCCCCCCCCCTCGGCCGGCGAGGGTTAACATCCCCCTACCAGGGGCGGAGCTTCCTATGCCCCACCAACTTAAGCTGGTTTCTAAGACTTTGTTGCTTTGCAAATTTATCTTTTTTTGCATCGAAGAGCTTTGGAATGTCTGTTAAATGCAAAATATTATATCTGTAATGATAGGAATTGATTCAGTGAGGCCTTCATAATCGGACATTGTGGGTTTGACGACTTTTTGCCCCACCAACGTCCCTGGAAAAGCTCCACCCATGTCCCCCACACCTTTGATCCAACTTGATTACTAGCTCGTCACTAGAACCTCGCTGCTTCTGTATCGCGCCCCCCGCGCGCCATGCACTACTCCCCGTTCTTGACCATGAATATTTTATTTTTGACACCAAAAATATCCAGTCAGCTGAAAAATATAAAATGTATCGCATTTCACATGTACCCTTCTACCCAATGGGAATTAAAAAAAAATTCTCGAACTTGAAAAAATCTGATAATTTAAAAAAGGCTATTGAACCTACGGATGATTGATAATTTACTGAATACTGATAGATGAACAAGGAATACTGGGCGAGATATCACTTTCCCTTAACGCGAAAGGCATCTGTCCTAAGTATCATAATTTCAAATAAATTATTATACAAAATAACACCCGATTCCTTTCGTTGCAGCATTTATGCTATCGGATGCCGGCTATGACGTATGGCTGGGAAACAATAGGGGAAATTTATACTCGCAGAGACACGTCAACCTGGAAACTGATACTAGGGAATACTGGAACTTCACGTGAGTAACTTCAATTTTCTCAGTTCTGTCTTCCACTGGACAGAAGGGATTTCAAGCGCAGTTTTTAAGGTGAGCTGTCCACATGCTTTCCCTTTTTCGGTCTTATATCCAATTACATTCCTACATGCACTTACACGCGTGTGCACTGTGCATTGTGCAATGTGTATTTGCATGCCTTACTGCATACCGTATTGAACGGCAGATTTTCTTGTTCTAAATACTAGTTGCCGATTGATCAGTATTCCCTGGCAGCGTTCCGGAAGGTACTGGCGTGATTTGGTTGTAAGCTTATTGAATAAAGAAACGAAAATGGGGACGTTTGTCTTCATGGGGAGGCCTGAATTAAAAAAACGGTTTGAAAAGTGCATTCGGAGAGTATAGAACGACGACTTACGAGGTAAAAACTGCTTGCCAATAAGTCTGCAGAGGGGACCTATCATTTGCTACTTGTTTTGTTACTTTCGGTTTAGGAGTCTTGTGAATTGTTCAAATGTTTCGAACTGATGCCAGGTGACTATATACGATAAAGCATGTTGTACGATAAAGCATGTTCGAGAAAAAAAAACTTAAAATTGTTCAACAAACTTGGTCGTTTTGACGAGATATGCCAAAATTGTCTTAACCCTCGCCCGCACATGCCATTTTCCCATCCTAGAACGCACATGGGGGGGGGGGTTGCCACCCCCCCCCCCCGCGCCATTTCGTTCCTGTTGGAGATAGAGCTTAGCAGTAAAGACCAAAAAGATTCTTTGGGAAGAGACGAATCCAATGATACCCAGTTTCACCTTCTCAGGTCAGTCATTGACCTTCCCGGTCAGGTCAAACTAAAAAATGTTGCCTGTTTTGGGTCACCGTTGGATATCAAGTGCGCTGCTTATCAAATACCGATGACGATGCTGTTTTCTGGTGCCAAGCCAGCTAGAACCTCTTTGTCACACTATCCGACCAGAATTTTGCTGCTGAGGTCATTTCAGGTCAAGTTAGGTCAAGGTCAATTATATGTGTTTGTACTTTGTATGTCTGTGTGTGTCTGTGTGTATACTGATGTGTGTACCGATTGTTTTTGGGTCCATATCACATGAAATCATGATCTGAGAAGCTTTTACCAAAAATGCAGTCAAAAAACTTCACAAAAAGTAAATTCAGCTGGCCTAAAACGCAATTATCTTAGATGACCTAGGTTGACCTTGACCCTGACCTTGACCCCTGTACATCGTCGAACAACATGTTCCATGATAGGTGGGAGGTAGGGGAGAACGGGGTCAATTGTAACATTTTTTGCATTTCATCATCTGGTGCAAACACGTTTGCAGTTATAACACTCTTTCTTTTATTTTCAGAAACTATGATGTTTTGTCTTTAAAATACAGTTAAAACATTTCCGAAATAACTTATTTTTTGGGTCAAAATTGTTGTCCGAAAAAGTCAATTCATCTGTTACAATTCACCCCAGATACGGGGTCAAAAGTAACACCACCCGGGGACAATTGTAACATGCTAATTTACAGGCTACAGCAACACAATTTTTCCCAAAACTTTGATTTAACGAAAGTATTGAACACTTGTTCATCTTCCCAGACTTGGTAGAGACGGTTCTTCTCAGGAAAAAAGGCTTAAAACCTTGCACTTATACAGGGGTTGGATGGACCTCCTCTCTCTCGGTTTTTTGCAAATAAATCGCGTAAAAAGCTGCCGATTGCGACAAAACTTACAGTTCTCTTAATTCTAGCAATGTTTCAACTCCCTTGAAAATTTGACGACTTTGACATAATGCCCACTGACCTAAAACCTGTTACATTTGACCCCTGCAAAAATGTTACAATTGTCCCCGTCTCGCCTTGACATATTTTAGACGAAACTGGCGCAAAAAGATGTTGCATGTACAACATTTAATGCTTTCAATTTATGGACAACAAGCCTGCCGACGCTTACACAACGTCTGAAGTCGATATCTTTTCAATGGCGGGAATGAGCTAATCAAATATAACGGTATAAAAATTTACAAAATGTACTCAAAAACACATTACTGTGCACAGCAATCGACATACCCGGCACTTTCGCTTCAAACTCCGTTGGGAAAGGCAGTATAGAATTGCGCATTTTCGGTCTTAACATCAGCTCATTCCATTGGTAAGTTTATGAATTATTAACACTGTTACAATTGCCCCGTGTTACATTTGACCCCGCTCTCCAGACTGGCAAAAAAGGCCGAAATCAGGGTGTCAAAAGCTCACAAGGCCCATGGCAAACGCAAGATGTTGAGAATTGGCCATTTGGGTCATGACATGACCTGAATAACAAGGTCATATCTCCGAAACCAAAAATCACAGAAACTTGAAATTTTCAGTGGACATCAAGAAAGGATAGACAAGCAGCTATACGAAAAATCAGCCTTCTAGCTCTAAAAACGTTGAGTGCAGAGCAGAAAGACTGCCTGGGGGGGTGGCAACCACCCCCCCCCCCCCATGTGCGGGCGAGGGTTAAGCACTGGCCTGTTTTAGCGCCGAAATGTAATTCATGTGATTTTGTTTTAACGATGTTGATTTTTTCGAGTTAAAAATGTCCCCTACGAAAATACCTGTTCTCGTATAATCCTGCTTTTTATCATTCCAGAGCCGATTCATATGCCAAATATGACAATCCAGCTTTCATCGATTACATCCTGCAAAACACCGGAGAAAATGAGCTGTTCTACGTTGGTTACTCGATAAGTAAGTAGGTACGTATGTACATTTCCAGAAATATTCCAAATATATAAGCATGTTGTAATTAATATAGATGTCACTGTTCCGATGCTGAGAATGAGAGTGAGGATACCGAGTCTAATCCCATCATTACTACTAACCAGTAAAACGCCTGTTGGGCGAAGAACGAGCGAGCGAGATAGTGAGCCATGCACGGGCGGAAGGGCGAGAGGGTACTTCCAATGAGGCTTGTGCAAAGCACCCTTCTAACCGGTCGCTAGCGGTGTGCCAAATTTGAACGCAATCGGCCCAGCCATTCCTGAGATCTGGAAGCGGCATTCTGCACGTGCGCACGTGCAAACGGGGTCCAAACTGACTTTTGCACGGCCCCCTACTAACCGGTCCCCAACCGTGTACCAAATTTGAGCGCAATCGGCCCAGCCGTTCTCGAGATCTGGAAGCGCCCCCTGCACGTGCGCACGTGCAGCAGCACCCTAACCGCAACACATGGGAATGCATTGCCTGATGGGTGCCTACCTGTATGCCAAGTTTCAGCGAAATCGCCCCAGAAATTACTGAGTTACTGAAATGGGAACAAATTTGGCACCTCTTCTTTTTGTATTTTGCACGTGCAGTGGGGGTCACTCGCATAGATCAAGAGTATCCGACCTTTGGTAGAAACTAGAAGGGATGCAGCTACCCTACAAAAATTACCGCAAGACAATCGCCCAAGCGGCTGCTGAGATATGAGCCTCTCAAAATCGCTACTTTTGCAAAACAGCTTGAACATCCTTGACTTTTCACGTGGCACGTGCCACGACGGTCACTGATATGTGTCAAAAGTAGTCAATTACGGGGTAGAAGGGATGGGGCTACCCAGCAAAAAAAAGACCGCAGCCCAATCGGTCCAGCGGTTGCTAAGATATAGGCCTCTCAAAAGCGTTACAGGCCGGGCCGCTCATACTGAGATTTTTCCGTTACCTATATTGTACTTGAAAAAGACTTCGCTTCGCTCGCTGCGCTCGCTCGCTCGTAATTATATCTGGATTTGGTTGATATTCCGTTTGCGCTGTTATGATTGGCTGCATTAATTTTTTCACTTCATTTGTATTTCGAATGGAAATTTTATCGTAAACTACAACAACACTGTAACAATATCATAAACAACTCCTGATATTCAACAAATAGAAATGAGTAGTTATGGCAAAGAAGTGAACCAAATAAGCTAACTACTAGGTAAGCTAACTACTAGGTCGTTCAATAAGTAAGGTAAAATGTACCATAGTTCATTTATATGAGGAATTCAAGCAAAATCAAATATGCCATCTGAATCTTTGAACAATTTTCTACACAACCTTCGAAACTGTTTTTGGGAGTTTGGCTCATTGTCCGAACACGGTCGATGTGAAAACATTGATGCAGCAGAGTTCCGTTCTAAAAATCCCCGGTTTGTCACGCGAGCCAAAATTCACCTCAAAATGAGTGAGTTGACCCTGATGACGCTATTGCCATTAGCAATGCTTGCTGGTGAACAGCTGGTACGATTTCAACAAGAACACAGCAGTGTAAGAGACAAAGTTCTAGAGCAGGGTAGACTTTTGCCCGCAGGCCTCTCTGGACTTGGCACAATCTGTAAAGTTGGGGAGCTGATTATGGAGACCCGAAGCATCTGTGTGGCTGCTTTCATTAACATGAGGGTGAAGTGTTATGTCGGAACAGTTCTAGGCATCATCAGATATGCTTTATATTTACAAGGTCATCACGAGGTTAATAAAGCCAAACCAAACAGCTCACTGAACAACAGAAGGACGCCCAGCGAGACATCAGTGTGGGATCGGCTTTGCTTAAGCAGTACAGGAAAGCTGAAGTACAGCCGTGATCTGGCGCCGTCCCACTTGAACCTGTTTGGAGCCCTATCGCCTTTGGATCACCGGAATCTTAACTGATCAGAAAATCGATAAAATAATCAAGACATGGCTTTGGAATAGCAATAAGGAGTTTTCCAAGCAGGATTTCAACGCCGGGTGGAGTGGTGGGATAAGCGCGTGCGCCTGAACGGTGATTGGATGTAGGTGCCAGTTCCGAAGGCTTGGGAGGCTGTCCGAAGAGACCTGCTAACAAATGCTTATAGCCAATTTGTAGACGATGTTTCAATGAACATATGTTGCTAGTTTTGTGTCGTTTCATCAAATGTGGACTGAAATACGTGTGATTTTACCTTACTTATTGAACGACCTAGTACTATTGATTATGATATGATTGATTATGATACTACCATGATTTTGTTGCAATGCAAGTTTGGGCAAGTAGGCCCTTCGAATAAACGGTAAAGTTCATGCACGTGCGCACGTGCAAGGATTGCTTCCACATCTCGAGAACGGCTGAAACAATTGCGATCTATTTTTTTTTTTTGTATGTGTAATGTGTGTGTGTGTACCATTACGCACAAATTGCACTAACGCACATGCAGGGTGCCGCTTCTGCATCTCAAGAATAGCTGGTCCAGTCGGACTGAGTTTAGGTACGCCGTAAGAGGGGTGGCTCGCAGTTTAGTTGGGGGTACCGCTCTTGATAGTTAAAGGCACTTTGCTGGTAGTATGACGATTCATGAGCTGATGTAATTCATGGTGGCGGGGTCGAAATCCCACTTCACTTGAATTCCGCCAGGCACATGGTCTTTTTGGGCTATGATGAATTATTACCCGTCCTACAACACCAAGGTACGGCTGATGGTCGCCATGGCTCCTATCTCCACAAGAATGTACTACCGGAGTTTCGCGAAGAAAATGGTGCCTATTAGAGTACCGCTCCACGTGAGTTTACCAGGAGGTCTATCAAGTCTCTGGTCAGCATATTGACATTTAAACTGATCAGATTTGTACGTCTGATTCAGTGTGCAGTGCGGAATGCAATAGCGCTCTTTGTTTTCCTGAAAGTACGTCGTCTTTATTGTTCCAAGTTCCTTTCTTATGCGTCATCATTCATTGTGTCATGTTGACAATCAATTTTCCATCAATCAGGCATATCCACAATACTAAGTCAGTTCCGTAACTTTCCAGAGGCTGGCCGAATTCTTCGGCATGTACGAGACGATGCCTTACGATCCCAAAAACGGGCGGATCGGGAAGATATTCTGCAACAAATACGCGCCGACCAAGCCTATTTGCGCTATACTGTTCTTCATGTACGCCGGCTGGGACCCGAAACAGCTGGATAAGGTAGGTACTGGTATCCCCGGAGTTTCGCGCAGATTTGTTCGTGGTGTATTATGGGGGTATCTCAAGAATTATTCACGGCACTTACGCCTAGAATGCGTCGACTCTTACGTTATCAATAAAAAACGGAACTTAGGCGAAAAGTGTTGGTCTATTTCTAACAACCTGCGTTTACAATACCGTCTGGTAACTGCCCTCACACTCGCTAGGAGCCTGTTGATAATATTGGTGATCTATAAAATGATATATTTCAGGAACTGGTTTTTAAATCCCTTCTGCCGCCTCCCAGTACCCGTTATCTTACTTTAAGGGACCCTCCCACCTTAACATTAGATTTGAGTTGAGATAGCCAAAATGGGGTCCCTGGCTCACAATTATCGGTTTCGGCACTCACAACATCGAGAAATGTCTTAAATTGGAAATATTGAATTTCAAAATTGCAGCATTTTGATTCAGAGGGGCTAATGCATTGGAATACCCCTCTGAATGTGTGACGTCAGCGCAGATATCTAACGATTTTTAAATGTTTGACTAAACGTTTTGTAGCACGCGGTGGTATATGCTGCTTTGCGCGCAACAAGTGCCGCACTTTCAGCTGCCAAACTATTGCTTCCAAATAAAGTCGCTAGGAACAGCGGAGATCCCAAAAAGTAAAAGTATAATGTCTTGAAAACCGGTGAATATTTTTCGGTGAACTTTGGTAGATATTCGTTTTCGCTCTTTCTGAACCGAGCGACATCACTTTCATGCCAATTCATAAACTTTTTTGAGGGTGGGAGGGTCCCTTTAAGTGAAAACCAAAACTAAGTAGTTTTGGTGCCAAGCTGTCAGAAGCGGTTGAACCGTACTACGAATACCCGTCACGACGCATACTGGTTGACCTGACCTGACCTGACCCGACCTGGTCTAAATGCTTAAAGACATCATCTGTGATCAAAACTAACACGATATTCGTGATCAGCACCCCGAAAAACCCCTTAGCAGCCACACTTTACGACTTTCTAACAGGTCCCGATTTTCCCGACTTTGGGTCATTGACCTGACCTGGAAGGTCAACCAATGACCTAGGACCTTAAAATTGGGTATCATCGGCTTCCTCTCGTCACGGGCAACACGCTCCTTTTTTCCGCGAAGCTCTAGCTCGATCAGGGGCCAAACGGCAAGGGGGGGGGGTCCAACCGACCCCCCCCCCCCTACACATTAGAAGCTGGCAAACGCCGCACACATGCGAGGGTTAAGAGGAAACAATTATTTACCTAGTTCGGTTTGACAGTACAAGGCGTAAAACAATCTGGTATTCAAAATAGCCTTGTTATACAAATAGGTACAGAAGCAACGTGTACCAATCCCATCGCCTTTTTTCTTCCACCCGTATAATTGATCGCATAGGGGATGTACTGAGTAGAAGCCGGAGCCGGAGCCGCCGGAGCCGGAGCCGCCGGAGCCGGATCATTATACTCGGAGCCGGAGCCGGAGCCGGAGCCGCCATGACATTTCACCCGGAGCCGGAGCCGGAGCCGGAGCCGATTTTTTTCTCCGGAGCCGGAGCCGGAGCCGGAGCCGTCTGAAATTTCCACGGCTCCGCATCCCTGGTTAGAAGGATGGTTTGCACAAACCCGTTGGAAGTACCCTCTCGCCCTTCCGCACGTGCAGGGCTCACTATCTCGCTCGCTCGTTCTTCGCCCAAAAGGCGTTTTACTGGTTTATATACATACACTGTGGGTCAAGTCTTGTTCCTCTTGTATATTTGTTATGGTGATCTATTGGGTTTCAGTACTCTCTACCCGTGATCCTGACACACGTGCCGGCCGGCTGTGGCAACATGGTAATCCAGCAGCTGGACCAGGCCATCAAGTCAGGTAAGCTGTTTAGTAGGTGATTTACACACCTTTTTTATTGACGTCAGGGGGCAGTGGTAACACTATCCGAAATCTGACTGGAACGTTTTGGTATATATGTGTACTGATCAAAGTACAGTAACCTTTTGTTTGTTTAATAGAAATGGTTCACCTGTTTTTTTTTCTTGGCAAAATGATAGAGTCTTGCCGGCTCAGCCTTTCGGTTTTTGTTCCGCTTTGCAGGGAATTTTCAGCGTTTCGACTATGGCCCTAGGAGAAACCAACAAGCATATGGGCAACCCCATCCAACGCTCTACTACCCAGAAAATGTCACCGCACCCGTGGTTTTGCTCTTTGGCAAAAACGACAAGGTCGCCGACCGGCGGGTCAGTACTCCAGGGGTCACGTAATTAGTCTGCTGCGTAGGGGCAAACCAATCTCCTGGATGGTCTTGTCTGATATATATATATATATATATATATATATATATATATATATATATATATATATATATATATATATATATATATATATATATATATATATATATATATATATATATATATATATTATTTGAGATACATTCGAAGGCTCAGTAATTTTGATTGTTTACATTGCAACCAGTGAAAAATACCCCGATTTATTGTCCTGGTGAAACACGACCAATTTTGTCAGCGTTGCCCTTCTGATCTTTCTGATTTTCTAACAAAAGTGTATCGGTGGGTCATCCTAGTAATGCCCCATTGCAGTAGTAAGACCCTTTGAAAAGGAGCGCACTTGCAAGACATGCCATTTATTTTCCCAATTACGGAACACTGCTCCTTGTTGTGACTGTGACATTTTTTTCAGATTAGAGTAGAGACGTTCTTTCACTGACTCCACTGTTCTTCCAATGCTAGATTGAAGTGAAACACCCGCAGTTTATCAGCGGTGGCGAAAAGTGACTTTAAGTTCTCAGAATCTGCTTCAACTAGCGCTAAATGTCTTTACACATCTCTCGTCGTGCTCTGCAGCAAAAAGCCAAAAGGCCCAATACGCAGAGACCTTTCTCATGCCATACCCATTGGTAAGAATGTCGCCAGCCTGCTCCTTGGAGATGCCCATTCTTACCGCTATCTGATGAGGTCACAGTCTTTGATCCAGCATCCACACCCCTAGAGGAGGGTCAATGTTTTCTGATTTCGTCACATTCTACGGCGTTTTTTGATATTTGTTCATTTTGGACGCTGTTCCTGCCCTGCTTGAAATTAGCAGCTCAAACCTAAACAGTGCCGTATGATGGGCCACAACCAATAAGTTTAATTTCAGGCCCTTTTTAATTTCAGATGAAGGCATGGCTTTGAAATTGCAATACTTTATAAAAGCTCGGTTCTCGATTTTCTCCCTTTTCACCGAACGCGGAATCTTCTTCACTTTAACAGGCTCTAAAAACGAAACGAAAAGGACTAGGACTTCAAAACTTGGTGTACACACCTAAGAATAGTGGCAAAATGTGTGACCAAATTTTCATTAACCTGCGTCACATGTAACTGTGTTAGGCTCAAAACTTTTCATTCACCCCACGTAAATTTTCGCATTTATACCCCCCAAAATCCCTCTATGTAAATATTGACTGAGATCAACCAAATTTGCATAGGGGAGAGATCTCCTGAGGGCCCATCTACCCTGTAAATTTAGCGTTTCTAAGTGCCATAGGAGGCAATAGCCAGGGGGGTTCGTACCTACACCCCCCCCCCCCCTGACTGTTCGTGTTATGGAAAAGGCCCTGGCCTGACGAGGGTTAATAGATAAGAATAACTATTGATAAATGATACAGCTAACATTTAACACCACATCAAAATAAAGTCTGGTTGAAACGGTTCTTGGGGAGTTGGTTGAAAGTACGCGGCGCCTCCGGGATTCGAACCCTCGATATACGAATATTTAGTCCAAGACATGTAGTTATGTAGTTCAAAGGTAGTGTGCCACCTTTGAAAGATTTCCCATTTTATTTTTCCTAGGATAAGAAGCTTCTGTTTTTACCTAATATCGCAAAAAAAAAATAAAAAATGGGCCTGGAATAGTGCCTTTTTCGCCTAAAAGTTTATCGGTTTTTCGATATGTATATTGTATAACAACTGTATTGGGCTGACCTGCAAACAGGCGTCGGCAACAATCGCGAATGCGGCGCACATGTGACAATAAGCAAAGGTCATTATAGAGTTACGACGGGAATGAGTTACGGGAATGAGTTATCAGCTGTCTAACCGTAGACAACACAATGTCGAGCCTTAAACTGTAAGCCTGTATTGGTATTGTTTCTTTTATTTGGCTGTCGAACATTATTTATGGTTTGAAATATGGCATATTTACGTCTGGACAACGAGTTGCGTTGGAGAGGCCGGAAATAGTGGCGATTTCAGGACCGCAAGAATGGACCGTCATTGGAATGATTCTTTTTTAAACCGTGCACTGCTTTCGGCCGGAATTTAATAGTTACTACAAAATATTTTGTTATTACGTTTCCACCAAGAATGAATGCCATCATGGCTAAATTTTCAACATTATTGCATTTTGTCAAGAAGCATATAGTGCTGTGATATTGCAGTTTTAGCGCGTTTGTTACAAAATATGAAGCGAATAAGCGTCAGTGTAATTCATCAACAGTGCCAGAAGTTAACTTGAGGGAAAGCGCTAATTGCTCTTGTCCATCCACTAAAATTTATTAAATATTTTGCTTTGTGTATTCCAAAAGGAGAGGGAACTATTTCATTTGTGCCTTCATGTCAGAATTGAAGGTGGATCATTAAATTTTCAACGCAGTTTACAAACAAGCATTTGGTCTTTCTCATTTATAAGCAGTGGCTAAGAAAAGGTTGATCAATCCTGAAGTTCAGTCATCGTACCTCAACTTCGCAGCAAGATCCCCAAGGACAGAGGATATATTATACATGTCCTGTAAATCAAAACAAACAAGCATTTGGTCTTTCTTGTATATAAGCAGTGGCTAAGAAAAGGTTGATCAATCCTGAAGTTCAGTCATCATACCACAACTTGGCAGCAAGATCCGCCAAGGACGGAGGATATATTGTAAACCTGTCCTGTTAATCAAAACATTTTTGTGCCTTCAAAGGCTTAAGTTACCTGTGGTGTGTTCGAAGTTAGGCTATATGGCCGTTTTTGTTGTATGTTTATGTGGAGATTGAATATAACTGTGACCCTGTGCTTGTTTGTATACTTACGGTCAAACAGGGAACAGCACATTCACATAACATACTCACCTAGCACCTAACTCATAGCTGTACCCTGCAGGATCTGTACTTGTTCATGTCTCGAGCATTAACAAAGCACTAAAGTAGCTTAGTAATCATTTCCCACATTTTCTGAGCATCTAACATGACATACAGTAGTGCAGAGCAGCTTCAGAGAAGAAACACTTTAAATGCACAGACTCACACCAGCCACCCAATGAGCCAGTTCCTCAGTTGACTGTTTCCCTGGACGCAGCTTGGCAATGTGAGCTAACTTTTGGCAAGTTGAAGGTTAGCAGGTAAGATTGAGTTAGGGTGAGTACCTACCTATAACTGGGTGCTACTGCCATGCAGGTCTTGGGTAGGCTGCAAATATGTGTGATGATTGAGGTTAGGTCAGCTGTCAGGTTAGTCAGGTTCAGGTATGCTCATTGCTCAGGTCACATTTTTATGGACATTTGGCAAACTAAAAAACTAACAATCTGATCTAAGCTAACTCGACTAAACATACACAACTACTGAGTACTGACTATAGGAACTGAGCACCTAACTACTTGTGCCTACATCTCATACCATGTCAAAGTAGAGTTCCTTGGTGGAAGATTACCCTCAGTACTTTTTATCCCAGCCCTGTGAAGAAAACTAATACTTCTAAGCTCTGAGTCACTGCTGGCCATCCACAGGAAGAAACGCTGAGACTGAGAGCTTTGCCATTGTATATTGGACCAATAATGACTATAACGAATGACTATGAACACATAATATGATCACATCGTTGCATGGATTGTCATATTGACAATTTTACTACAATCCTTTTTTCAAGAAATACAGAGATGATGATTAACATCATAGTCAACATAAAGTGGATTTAGTGATCCAAGCTTTCTCCTCCAGTAGCAATGGAATGATCGCATGTTTCATTTGCCAGACACTGAGTACCTGATGCACATTTCTGCATAGCATCAGCATAGTAAAACTGCCCAAGTCCATTCATTCTAGATTTTAACTTGATAGTTAGCACTAATTTATCTTGCTGTTGTAAGTTATAATTCAATATTCATACCAATACATCAATATGCGCTCGCGGCTCATCAGTCAACATTTTCTGGCATGATCCTGCTCAGCGTGCTCTTCAGTATCACTCCAAGGTCTGCAATATTATAGCTTGTTTTTGGACAATAAGCTCTTTTAATTTTACTTTTTCTTGCTGATATATGAGCCCGATCAACTTGCGTTTATCAACCAAAATTTCTTGACTTGTTCAACTTGATATTGATATTGCTCAGTAGTCAGGACCTCTGTCAGCCTCCTGAATACTTCAGATTGTTTTCAGTCAACATGCTTCTTAAATATGATATAAGTCAATCTTAAGGGATTCAAAACATCCAACAAAACGACGCACAAGAGCAAGAAAACCACCAGATAAACTAAAAAATGGCCTTGGAACAGAGCCAAGTGGTGCTCCATTTGTTTGTTTACAATGATTGTAGTGCTGATGTATTTTTAGGACTCTGAACGTCGGCTTATAAAAAAAATGAAACGTTTTTACAAAAGTTGTAAGGCAAGTAATATTTATCTGAAAGAACTAAAATATTCAAAAGCCAAACACTATGAAATACATGAATCGGAACGAAAAAGTAACCCAAAAATCCAGCCTAATCACCGGCTCCTAAAACTGCAACACAATCAGCACTTTTCCCCGCAACTCGTTGTCCAGACGTAAAAATGCTGAAATATGATTATATGTAAAATAATTGATAAGAAAAAGCCGTCTCTTAACCCGCGCCCCGTAGGGGGGGGCCGAAACGGCCCCCCCTGTCCTTTTTGGTCGATATCTCCTAAACGGCTGGAGATATCGCCACCAAACTTTCAGGACCCCTCCGGGCATCAATTTTACACATTGTGACCAAAAATTTTTCCAGAGGCTGTGATAGGTTGGCCACAAATGACGTCAGAGTGACGTCATGTTCTATCATTTTCGACCGAAAAAAGACCTTCGCGAGAAGACCTGTCAGGCCTACAGCTTTGAAGATACAGAAAAATGATCAAGACATAAAAGGTGTAGAATTGACAGGGCTACAAAACTGCTATCTCGGATTTTTGAAATTTTTGAGTTTTGATCCCCAAAAATCAAAAAAGCATTTTTTTGGATATAT